ATCATTGTCGATCTGGCGCTTGAAATCTTTGTCTACAACGCGTGTTTTGGTCAATTCGTTTAGCCAAAGTTCTCGCCATTTCTTGTATTCAGCATTGCGAGGGGCAGGAAGTTTCCAGATGCCGATTCCTTTCGTTTTGCGGGACGAGCCGCAACCAAAAACAGAGCAGTTATCTCCGGGCATTCCTTCTTCATTTATAGATACATACAAGCAGTATTTAAGAAGGAATAGTAATATTACAGACGTAAAACGTGCAGTCATCAGTACAAACGCTCACATGTGAGACGCCATCTTGAATCTATGTGATGCACGGTCACGCTAGGTTGAACTCGAAAAACCAAAACAATAAGCTATCCCTTTGAAGTTCGCCGGCTTTCATAACCAGTCCCCTCGATTAACTATGATTTGACTCAACTAATGAATTTTCCTTGTTGTTTTCTTTCATATCCTGCCAGTGACATGTGAATGATCACAAATTCTGCAGTGAAAGTTTTTTAGTCAGAAGACATCAAAAAAACTGATCGGGATGATTGTCTCTGATTCTGGATAAAGATGACTTGTCATTGGGATAGCCATTAACAAAGTTGTTACTCCAGTTTTACGAGATGTTGTCAAAGAAAGAATGGACACTCATTACACAAACCTGGACACATACTGCAGAGGTCTGACCACACCCTATACCCTGGCGATGCCGACTTGTCATCAGGTTAACACTGATCCCAACCTGGGAAGATTGAAATTTCAGAATATCAACAACAATCTGATGAACCACGGCAATCATACCAGCTTGTACAACTACACTGTGAACAATTCAGTAGACCTGGCCAAGTTGTATTTGCGCGACGTACATCTTGCAGAGTTTTCAGCCTTTGATTAGTCACTGGACATGACTGCTATCCTTCAACTGTTGCAGTTTAGTAACTACCATCCAGCTTCTATTTTTCCTGCTATTTTTCATGCTATTCAAACATCAGCTGATGCTGTCAGGAAAGATGTGAGGAAAAGGTGGGGCCATTTTGATGTGACAGAATGGACTGAAGCTTTCTTCAATGATTGCCTCTCAAAGCTGGAGATCCTGGTAAGAAGTCTGGGGCTGACTGGTGGAATGGAGAAGAACACATTCGATCAATTATCTGATTGGCGAGGGAAAGGTATGATTACCTATGTTTTATCCGTTTCTTTTTTTTTTCATATGCTAAATATTATAATATCTCACATGTCAACTAAAACAAATTGCTCTGTCGCCTCATCTGTTTGCGAGGGTGTGCCCATGGAACATCAATTTATATGTCATCAAGTGTCTAATATTGCGCTTCTTCAGTAGTACACTTATGAGGTGCAGTGATTATGATGAAATTGCAAGCCTCCAAATTTTCTCAATTTGTCCGATTGCTTGTTTCTTTGTAGGTTGCCAGCTGT